CCATGAAATCAGAAATCGATAAATTTTGTTGTATATCTCATGTAAACGGGAAAAGTAAATGCTATATATAAATTTTATATGCCATTCTTATGAGATTTTATTATATCTAGCTCGTATAATATCAAATTGCATTATACCTTCCTCTTTTTTGCTCCTCTGAATAAACCAATCATATTTTCTTAAGAGCGGAGATATCGCGACAACTACATGAATTTTATACTTTATTAAGTTCAATCACAATCATCAAATCACATCTTACAAAATCTTACAAAAACACAGATCTGATAATACTTTTATTTAAATTTCGAAACATATTTTTGGAATCAAAATTCCTCGTTTGTTTCTACACCGCTGTATCTCGCTAGTCGCAGCTGGGCAAACGGTGGAAGAACACGGAAGAGGCGGTTGTGCATCCGGTTTGCGTACCTTAGGTACAAAGGTGCTCCTTACGAGCTTGCGTTGGCACGTACGAGTAGACTTCCGGACGTGTCGGACCTGATTACATTCTCTTCAAAATGGGACGCGATACCTCTTCGAATAGAACCTTCCCCTATAGAAGCTTTACGTAGGAGCTCTCTACTGTAGCACGAATTTGTATTTATAATTAAAGCGATATACGCCAGCGCGTACATGTATATTTATCTCGAGGATTTTTTTTTGTTAAATAAATCATACGCACTTATATTTAATAATGATGCACTAGTTGCGCGACGTGTGATTGATAACGAGCATTTCAGTTCTGTCGCATTGACAGTTTTGCGTTCCGCGCTAAACGTCGATATTGATGGTATTAGCGTAACGAAGCGTTTCCACGCGATCAAATATGCAGAAGGACCGTTGCCCGATCGCGTGCATATGCACATGTGCATGCACACATCTCGTCGCTCCTTGCATCTTTTATGCACCTATATTTTTACCAAAGCATCCGATCGCGCATTTGATTTCGAGCGTGACAATTGACGAGACTAAATTGCTGTCGATGTTGTATCGGGATTATTTTAAACGTCAATGTATTTTTTGGATAACAAAGTATAATTTAAAAGTCCAATTTTTTTCATTATTTACATTATTCAAAATAACTCTTTTATGTCGCACGTTTAATGGAAAAGGGATAAAAATACAAATTTCCTATTTTCGTGTTAAAATTATTATACAAAAGGTAATCGATTATTTTTGTGAAAATAACTTAAATTTACTTTTTCAGTGGAGACAAATTACAAGGAATAAAAGTATCGTTTTATATTACACGGATGTGTTTTGGAAAATTTTTACTTTTAGATGTACAACATAATGATATTATGCTGAGTTAAACAAAAGTTAATCGATCAGTTTTGCAAAAATAATTTTATCGGTATGTCGTACATCTAAAAGTAAAAATTTTCCAGAACTTCCGTGTATTTTAAAACGATACCTTTTATTCCTTGTAATTTATCTCCACTGAAGAAGTAAATTGACAGCAATCTAACAGCGCGTATTCGCTACGTCGTGTGTGGGCTACATTTTATTGGATTAATTGCTCCAAACGTGAATTTGCGCTTTAGTATACACACAAATATCACTACGTTTCTCCTATCTACCACGTTCTATATTTCCGTATTTGCGCATTGAGTTATCATTAGTGTATATTTACCCTAACGCATCAAAACTCGTGCACAATCAGTGCAATTATATTATGAGATTTGTTCACTAAAGGGATTAATTGCGATTTCTAAAAAATTCATTCTTAACAACTATAATGTATACAATGTTCTTAATGTATACATTATTAATGTACATTACATAATGTATATTTTTAATCAAGAATTTAATTAAGAATTTAATTGTTTTTTGGACTGAATATTGTTTTTTATCTAATATTTGGATGCATGTGTTTCTTAACATATTAATCATTATTAAACAGCAAAGTATTACTACAATTCTCTACTTTCTTACTGTTACCAGTCGTCTTTACATTTCGCGGACGTCCCGGATCTCACGATTGTCTCAGCATCGTCGAGAGATGAATAGATTATGATGGGTGACTTGGCGCGATGTCGTATCGTGCCCGAATTTTTCTCGCAAAGGTGCATTCGCATAACATACGGCGAAGGTCGCGTTGTACATGTTCATTTTACCGTCTTTTCTCTCGCGTGGCATGTGCTCGTTCGCCACGAGGAGCAGGCATGCAGCTCGTTTGAGCGGCGTAGAGACGTAAAAAAGGACGACGATTCGTCGAAAAGATAGCCTGGCGCGGGCTACGTCAGGACTTATGAGCACGAGCGTACACGTGGCATCTCGCGACTCCCGTCCGCGGCCATTTAGAGTCAGCCTTGTCTTCGGCCGTTTATGGTGTATCGCTTGAAAAACCGCTTCCCTCTCTTTCTCTCTTTATCCCCGCCTCGGTGACGTCCTACGGTCTCGCGATTCTCGTCCCGGGTCTTCGTCAATCGCCGAAAGTCTCCGTTTCGAAGATTTATCGTTCAGCAGCAGTTCTAAGGCATATCTCCGAGCCAAGCTAATCGTAGCGCTCCAAATTGAGACGAAAATGTCTTAATTATATCAATTTCATAATTGTTATTATTATAAAAAAATAAAATAAAATTCTTCTTTTTTTAACAGTAAGAAATGCAATTAAAAAAATGTTAAATCATTTATGCCCATAAGATGCTTTAACTTGTTTAAGCTTTCGAAATTTTAAATTTGTACTCCTTATTCCCGGATGCGATTCGCGTTAAAGAGATTTGTTTCTCTACGAGAAATTAAATAAAAAATCGCGAACTCTCTTATTACCAAGTCTCGAAATTAATTACGAAAATCGATGAGAGAATGCGCGCGGAGAGATGCGGGAAAAAAATGTATGCGACGAGATTTGGCGATCAGCAAGCACACGTACATATCTCTAAATCCGTAAAAGGCAGGAAGAAGAAGAAGAAGAAGAGATCTCTCTCGCGGCCGGTGCCTCGTCGGTGGCCTCGTCGGCGTCCAGGTGGCTCCGCGCCTCCGTTTCTGGCGCACGCATGCACACCGCGATGCACCTTAGAAGGCGTCAGGTCGTCGCGGGCCTTTGTCTCGAGATCTTTCGAGCTCTCTCTCTACCTTCTGCGAAATTTCCGGGAAATGAATGGTGATAGCCTCGCCGGCGTAGAACGACGGAGATGCCGCGACAATCGTTTTCCGGTCTCGTTAACGAGACCCTATGTAAAGGAAGTCTTTACCTTATCAACGTGTTGCGCGAGATTGTTGTAATGGTCCGTGTATGCAAGTCGCGAGAGGACAGATAAATACCTCGAGCTAAATGGATTCTAGAGAACCAAGTTTTGGCTGCATAAAGCCTATATAATTTTCAATATCGAGACATCATAGAAAAATTATATTTTTTTAGCATAATTTATTCGAAATTAAAATTAAAATAAAAAATTGACCCACAACTCTTTTACGTGATTATTTTTTAATCGCATTTGATTAATTCGAAATGAAATCTGAAATCAGAGGAGCGCACGCCGAGATATCTCCTTTATGATAATTCGGCGTGAACTCGTTCTCTCGTCTGTCAAACCGACTGTTCTCGTCGCGTCCCTCGTTGGGCTGAAGCTTTTAAGGCGCAAAACCCGTTCCCGCAATGCTGAAGCTTTTTCTGCGGATGCTACGCGATGTGGCGACGAGGAGCACTTTTCACGCGACCGAAGACAGTGCATTCGCTTCAGTAAGATTGATGCTCCCGAAGACAGTAAGAGCCGCCGGCAAGAGGCGAGGTCGCGAGATCGGCAGCGGCGGACCGAACCGCAACGTAGCGAATCAATCTTATACAGGGTGATACGGAAGGAAATCTGCTATTTTGGAAAACGCATTTAATATTCATATGCGAGACTAAAATATAAAGAGATTTGTATAATTTCTATTTAATTATTTACATTTTTAAATATGATATTAAATTGTCACTCATAAAAATAAGTCAAGTTTCTCTGACTCTACTCTAATTATAAGCATAGAACTCATCAAAATGAAATATCGTAATTTGAGATTAAATTTATCAAAATAATTTTCTAATTTTAAGCATCGGAAATTAATAAAAATTACTATAATCGTTTTTCAATTTATACGCATTTTTAATCTACATATGTGATTTATAAATGAGATGATAAATGTATCTGAATGATCAAAGATATTTTTAAAAAAATATAAGAGACTTTTTAAATTATATAATATATATTTTATTATGAAAATAATTGTTTCCATCTTTCTATTGCATGCTATTCTGAATTTAATAGACATTTACTAACGCTATTAATTCCTTAATATATGATAATTGAAACATTCTTATTTTTTATCCCCAAAATACGTTCTTCTCAGATGTTATGGTTTTTTTCCTGAATCACCCTATATATCTCGATCTATCCCCGAACGTATCCGTCCGGATTGCACCAATTCTCGTAATAAAATAAAGCTACCGTAACTTTTTACGGTAGCGTTCTTATCGAGTTTACTGCGCCGACGATATTACCCGAGAGAAGGAGGAGAGGATCTCTACCCTTCTGTTTTCGGTTTTCCACCGGAGGGAATTGACGTTAGGCGGAGGGAATTGTTGTCTATATGTTGTACTTTAATTCTTTTTGTTTGAAACAAGCAGAATTCATCGGGAAAAGTTGCAATACGAACGAATACTACGCGATGAATGATATTGGTTGATTAAATCACACCAGCAAAATTGAGATGTTAATGTCAGATATTAATGTCAGATGTTAAGAGCTTATTTTTGATCAATCGTTTAAAAAATTCATGCTTAATTTTTCGCAAAATTTTATCTATGAATAGATAGATGTTGATTCTTTGGAAAAATGTTATACAATGTATGGCATCTCTTAGCGTTTTTTATGTTATAAAATTCATTAATAATATAATTATATTTAAAATTCATAATAAATATAATTATATTTTGTAATTTAGTAAAACTTTTTGAAATATTTATTTTGAAGCATGTTATGTTAAATATAATGTATATTTTATATTTATATATGTTGCAGATCAACTCATTGCCAATCTACGTAGTCAGCTCCACTATTATGCATCGATCGGTGAGTGCAAATTTTTAATTTATAACAAAAACGCCAAGTATATAATGAATAAATTTTAATATGCAACATTTTTCAAATTTTTTATAATCTTTGTTGCATACAAGTATGGATTCTTTTTTATGTAGGTACGTATGTTGTTTCTTTTAAAAAGGTTTCTTTTATATATAGAAAAGCAATTATATATGATTCTTCTAATTGAAGTTTGAATAATAGATCAACGAATGTGAACAATATATATATATATATATATATATATATATGTGTGTCTTTTGTAAATTATTTATCATGCAAATAATTTAAAATTAAAAGTTTAACATAACTTAATTTTGGAGATTCAATCTATTTCAAATATAATTCTGCTAAAACTTTTATTATAGCAAATAAAAATTTAATAAGGTACTTCCAATTTAAATTTTTATAGCATATTTTATAGTGGCATTATGGGGTAAAAACAGAATTTAGGACAAGGATCAATAACAGAAAATCAAATTAAATCGTTGTTTAATTTTAAATAATGAAAATATAAAGACGATAATAATTAAAAATGCGTGTCATCGCGTCTCGCGCGATGTTTTCGGAAGATTTTCCTCTGAGAACGGACATTCCGTCTAAATAAGGCGATGTTCACACACTCTCTCTCTCTCGCGGGGTTCACTCTTACTCAAACATCCCCACTAATTCGGGAATTATTTGGGCAAACATCACACACTACGATCGAATGGTGTCGGCTCGTTCTCGCCGGAACGTGGGAAATCCAAGACCTAGTTGATGCTGCCCCTGCATGTGTATGTAGATCCGAAGCTTCCGAACCTTTGGAGGAGAGCTCGAGGTGCCGCCGCGTGCGGACCTTTGTCTTCCTCACGAATTCTGCATTCTTTAACGACGCGCACCCGATTCTCTCCTTCTCTTTCTCTCTCTTTCTCTGTCTGTCTCTCTCTTCCTCTTTCCCGTTTGTGCATCTCGTTAGAGCGCGGCTTTTCAAAGGGTTCGAGGTAATATTGTAGATCACAAGTTCGCTCCGGCCTATCCTTAATTGGATAACCGAGTTTTAAAGGCTCTATTGTGTGACTAATTGCGTCTCGCGTAACGAGACGTACATTACATGATAAAGCTCTTGCAAGAGCTTATTATTCTTGTACGTTTCCCGAATTTCCCAGATTTTAATAACGAGAGAAAACAGATTTTGTAAGAATTAATTTATCTCGTACGGTTTTATCTCACAAACAAATCAATTATTAAACACATTAGATTCGTCGCCTCGACGGAGAGAGTGCTTTAATGATTTCTATAAATTTTTCCAGTCTTCTTTATAATTACTGTTGATACTGCTTGTTAATTATTATATGTTAAATTTAAATGTTAAAGTTATTTAATTAAAATGTACGAATATATAATTACAATGCAATTATCATATTACAAAATATAAATATACAATACAATTATAATATTACGCGAAATATAATATATAAATATACAAAAATATACAATTTTATTCCATCGCAATTTTAGACCTCTCGTCGTCAAGCATTTGTAGCATCGACTCAGTAAAAGAAAATTTATATCGGAAATCTGGCATTTATTATACATATATTTTATATCGAGAAAACATACACTACTCGACATGATCGATAGGATCATATCGAGATTCGGAAGATCGTTATCAAGAAATGAGAGCCGTTCATCGCTGCGAACTGTCAAGCGATAAGATTTGCCATCGCCCAGAAAATCCTTTTAAATGCATGGCGCAATGGAGAGATACGTATTTACAAAGAATAATGCATATAAAGTAACCCGAAGGATAGGAGGTAGAGTAATACAGTGCCACGGCTGTAATGGGAAAAGCGCAGAAGATAAAAAAAGGGTCACATGTGCGCATGTATATGTGTATATGTAAAATATATATATATATATATATATATATTTTGTATATACATATACATACATACATACATGTATGTGCCACCTCTCCATTTCTCAGTTGAACTCCACCAAAACGAGAAAACTGATATAACGAGTCCAAGGAAGAGGCAGACTAGCCTCGCGGAGTATATCCCCGCGTAATAAAAGGAAATCGTTACGTGTGAGCTTATGTGCGTTACATAAATCGGCGGTGACATTTTCCTCGGATTATAATACTAGCAAATACGGAGTTTATTAAATTAATTTCGCGAACGCGATTGCTCTACAACGGTGCCTAATATTTAATAGACACACGAGCACAATCGTATAAATTCATAATTCAGATCGCTAATATTAACAGTTAACAGCTACGCGATTAAATGGTACGTTTGTTAAAATTTTCTCCCAGTCATTTCGATTTTTAATATTTCCATTTTTTAAACATGCTTTATTATCTATATGTTTTAAATTAAAAAGCGTATTTTTGGAAAGAGTTTAAAGTAGATGAATATATTTTCACACACATACACACATATATTTTTATTTATTATTTTAAAAAATTGATTGAACTTTTCTATCGACTTTTCATATCGAGGAAATATGATTTCCGACACGACTGCGCTTGTGATAAAATCAAAGAAACGACCGTCGTATATAAGAGTCTAAACTAAAATACGGCGCATTGACCGTACTTTAGCTTACCGGAGCAGGTAGTTGGCGTTCATTCATCGATCTATTATTCAAACTTCAATCAGAAGACGGGGAACAGACGAGAGAATTGCGTTTTCGTACTTTGCTAACAAGACGTTTATCAGAATAATCTGAAAGAACATATTTCTTTTCATCTGGCTCATTTTCCTTGCATTTCGCGATTTTTCGAACGTTCGTTTATTCTCCTGTAATGGAGTAGGTAGGTAGATACGTCCAGATTACGAAAATAATTACGTATCGCTCTTGAAAATGCTGACATGTTTATTTATGCGACTTTAGATATTAAATTTCTTTTTGATGAAAATTGTTTGACAGGTTTTTTTGATAAATTGAATTTTTATACTTTACATTGAAAATACTTATTTTAATACTTTTAATGTAAAGAAAATGCGCTTGAAAAATTGTGATCTGTTAAAGATTTCTCTAGAGAACGAAATGTGATAATATTTTGTATCACACCCACTCATAAAAATAATTGATAATATAATGTGTGTATTATAATTCAAGCTTTAATCTACTTACAAGCAAACTCGCGGCATTCCGTTTGCTTCTTTTTCGCGTTCTGCATTATTAAAAGGGAGATGAATATACAAGTACTTTTTACATAAATATTTGTAATGAATCTGTTTGGAGATTACGTGAATAGGTAAGAAGAAGCAAGTTTCTCTTTCGTGTAAAAGTAGAATAAAATTTGCATTCTTATTGCAAAAATATTTGCCTCTCGCTCGCGCTATTAATTACGCAAATCTGCTTTAGAAACGACTGTGTCTTATGAACATCTCGAGAAAAGATGCCTCTATATACGTCCGACCGGTCGCAGGTACGGAATCTCCACGAAATCATTAGACCCCCCGAGAACGCGATTTAAAAGGGCCTTACGGCGGTGGTGGGCTAAATCCACGCTGGCGGTCGGTGGCCACGCGGACGGGTATATATAATAACGTAAACTAGGTGGCAGGCAGGACCTGTCCAGAGTAAACAACGTGGTGGCCCAGGACTAATCGCCGTTCGACCCGGGTTATGGTTCCCACATCGAACACCGTGGCATTATGGGACCCATCGTGCTCTCACGCCTTCGCCTCCCTCTCTTTCTCTTTCTATCCCAATCTATCTTCGTCCAGTTCGGCGGTACAATCGCTTCCACCTCTCGTTCATTGTACATTGTACCATCCCGCCTAGACCAGTTTGCTCGGCTACGACCGGCTACCAATAACTATGTACGTGAGGACCGAGCTTAATGTTGTCAATACATAGACACATAGACACGCACGAAGTGGTGTTCTTCGTTCCGATACGGCTAAAGTTCGGCAAGTTTCGATCATTCGGGAGCGACATTTGCCGCCGCAATTAATTCTTGGGTCACGTTCTCGATATCGCTTACGTTCCCCGATAGCGCATACGGTAGCTTATTTAATCGCCGTACAGGCCTTTCGGGTGGATTACCGCCTATACATACGTATATGGCTATCAATTGCATATATTTGGCGCGAAAATGAAACCAGAGTGTCGAATCGATTCCCTTTCGATATCCAGCTCAACATTCGCCTACGTAAACATTCTAAAATCTCCATCAGTCGTATATGTATTCAGAAGATTGGTTTAGAAGCCTTGTGATGGAGCAACCGTGAATGTGGATTATAACTTTCATCGAGAGTTCATTGTTACAGTAACAGTTTTAAATAGAGAAAATTTAATTATTAGCAAATGAATGTGTGTCAATTATTAGAAAGTATTGAAATATCAAGCTAACCTCAGCGTTACTCTTTGCTTCAAACTTTTATCTATGAAAGTAATAAAAGTAAACATAAAGGTATGAAGATATTCATACTCATTATCAAAGAACTTTCTTATTTTTGCTTTTTGTAGACTTTAAACTTTTATTCGAATATGTATTACTGCCGATAATTAGAAAGAAGAAATAATGTATAAATCATTATATTTAAATATCCGTGATAATTTCGTCTTTTTTCGTTAAATCTATCGAACAGAAACTTATTAATTATTTAATAGATACGAAACAAGATAGAATTATTAAAGTTTCCGCCATAAAATATTTCGGTTTTTGTAAAGAAATACTTCAATAATTAAAAAACAGCAGAGAAGATTCTCGACGAAAAGGTAGCGCATCGCGCTATTTTTCATGCATAAAATCAGTCAAGAAAATGGTGTTCGATCTAATGTATACAAGTGCACAAATATGTGAAGATTTTCTGAAGTGTACCCACTATTTTTTTTTACTTATTTTCGGTCGTGTATCGTTATGAAAATATTTTTCCTGTCCTTTCACGAGGAACATCCGAACTGCACGACGTTCGCAATTGAAACGCAAAAGAGAAAGCACGTTCCTCTTCGCCGATTTTTTCCTCCGCCGTCCCTGACTGCCGATCCGT